ACCCCTCCTCTGCCCTGAGACACCCCCCCCCGTGGCAGTTCCCCCCCTGGCCTGGGGAGCCATGCGGCAGTTCCCCACCCCAGCCCACCTCTGCTCCGCCTCCTCCCCGAGCACGCCGTCGCTGCTCCACTTCTGCCTCCCAGGCTTGCGGTGCCAATCAGCTGTTTGGCGCCACAAGCCTGGGAGGGAGAGAAGCAGAGCGGGGTGGTGTGCTCAGGGGAGGAGGCGGAGCAGAGGTGAGCCGGGGCGGGGAGTTCCCCTGCGTGCCGCCCCCTCCTTACTTGCTGCAGGCGGCCCTCCCTGCGCCCCCCTGCCCCAGCTCCCTCCGCCTAAATGCCAGCAGCGACCGGGGCGGCCGAAGATCCGGCGGCTGCGGTCGCCGCCGAAGAAAATGCCGCCCCCCTAAATCCTAGTGCCCTAGGCGACCGCCTAGGTTGCCTAATAGGTTGCACCGACCCTGCACACACCTGAACACCCTTGGCCTGCCCCCTGCCCCACCCCTCCTCTGAGTCCCTGCCCATACCCTGCCCATTCTCTGAGGCTCTGCCCCCCTCAATCCATCCCCCCTCCCTCTGTCACTCGCTCTCCCCATCTTCACTCACTCACTTTCACTGGGCTGGGTCAGGGGGGTTGGGGTGTGGGAGGGGATGAGGGTGAGGGCTCCGTCTTGGGGTGTGGGTTCTGGGGTGGGGCCAGGGATGAGGGTTTTGTGGTTCAGGAGGGGGCTCCGGGCTCGGGGGTGGAGCCAAGGGGTTCAGAGTATGGGGGCTCCGGGCTAAGGTAGGGGGTTGGGGTTGGGGTGTGGGAGGGGGTATGGGTTCTGGGCTGGGGGTGTGGGTTCTGGGCCAGTAATGAGGGTGTAGCAGGGCGGACACCTGCTCCTGCCCTGAGAGGCTTAAAACAGCCCTAGGAAAGGGCTGTGGGAGGAGAAGGCAGCCACTGGGCTGACTGGGGGAAGCAGGCAGAGCTGCGGCCACACCCCAAACAGAGCCCAGCTGGCCCCTATAAGAGGCTGCGAGCCAGGAGCCCAAAGAGTCTCTCTCTGCTTTCAGAGAGAGGGGGGACTGGTTGCTGGGAAGCTCAGGGTACCTAGAGTAAGGCAGGGCTGGGGAAAGGCCAGAGGGGCTGGGGAGCTCCAGGCTGGTAACTCCTCAGGCTGCAGGGCCTTGTCCAAGGCCCCATAGAGGTACTAGGTTGTAGAGAAAGGCAGCAGGTCCAAACCCTCCTTGTCAGTGATGAGTGGCTTATACTGCAGTCTGCCCTAGGGAACGGGGGCTAGTTGGTGACTGGCAGTAGCCTTACACTGAGGTGAGGTGGGGATAGGGGTTACCCTGGGAGGGGAGACCTTGAGATTGGGGGTTACTGCCAGAGGGGCAGCACCCCAGAGAAAGGGGAATCAGGGTCCTGGGAGGGACACGGGGCCAGTGGTAAGGCAGATCACCGGCCTGCAGAGTGCACTCTGACAGCTGGAGAGCTAATTCCTGAGATGACCAGCAGGAGGCACTGCAGGGGTGAGTCCCACATTGTTACAGAGGGGTTCAGGTTGTGGGAGGGGGCTCCAGGCTGGGGGGTGAGGGCTCCAGGCTGGGGGGTGAGTTCTCCAGCTGGGGATGCAGGCTCTGGTGTGGGGCCAGAGATGAGGCATTTGGAGTGCAGGAGAGCACTCTGGGCTGGGGCTGAGAGGTTTAGCGTGCAGAAGGGGGCTCTGGGCTGGGGCAGGGGGTTGGGGTGCAGGGGTGTGTGAGGACTCTGGCTGGGGGTGCAGATTCTGGGGTGGGGCTGGGGAGGAGGGGTTTGGGGTACAGGAGGGGGACTATGGGCTGGGGTTGAGGGGTTCAGAGTGCGGGAGGGGGATGAGGCCCTGGGCAGGGGGGTTGGGGCATGGGGGGGGGTGAGCTCTGGATGGGTGTGCAGACTCTGGGGTGGGGCTGGGGATGAGCAGGCTGGCTAACCTAATGAGGAGGGCTTTAAACTAGGTTCACCGGGGGAAGGAGACCAAAGCCCTGAGGTAAGTGGGGAAATGGGATACCAGGAGGAAGCACGAGCCGGAGGACTCTTGCCTCATACTGAGAAAGCAGGACAATCAGCGAGTTATCTTAAATGCCTATACACAAATGCAAGAAGTCTGGGAAACAAGCAGGGAGAACTGGAAGTCCTGGCACAGTCAAAGAATTATGATGTGATTGGAATAACAGAGACTTGCTGGGAATAGCTCACATGACTGGAGTACTGTCATGGATGGATATAAACTGTTCAGGAAGAACAGGCAGGGCAGAAAAGGTGGGAGAGTTGCACTGTATGTAAGACAGCAGTCTGACTGATCAGAGTTTCGGTATGAAACTGCAGAAAAACCTGAGAGTCTCTGGATTATGTTTAGAAGTGTGAGCAACAAGGGTGATGTCGTGGTGGGAGTCTGCTATAGACCACCAGACCAGGGGGATGAGGCTTTCTTCCATCAACTAACAGAAGTTACTAGATCACAGGCCCTGGTTCTCATGGGGGACTTCAATCACCCCGATATCTGCTGGGTGAGCAATACAGCGGTGCACAGACAATCCAGGAAGTTTTTGGAAATTGTAGGAGACAATTTCCTGGTGCAAGTGCTGGAAGAACCAACTAGGGGCAGAGCTCTTCTTGACCTGCTGCTCACAAACAGGGAAGAATTAGTAGGGGAAGCAAAAGTGGATGGGAACCTGGGAGGCAGTGACCATGAGATGGTCAAGTTCAGGATCCTGACACAAGGAAGAAAGGAGAGCAGCAGAATATGGACCCTGGACTTCAGAAAAGCAGACTTTGACTCCCTCAGGGAACTGATGGGCAGGATCCCCAGGGAGAATAACATGAGGAGGAAAGGAGTCTAGGAGAGCTGGTTGTATTTTAAAGAATCCTTATTGAGATTGTAGGAACAAACCATCCCGATGTGTAGAAAGAATAGTAAATATGGTAGGTGTTAAGCTTGGCTTAACAGTGAAATCCTGGCTGATCTTAAAACACAAAAAAGAAGCTTACAAGAAGTGGACGATTGGACAATGACCAGGGAGGAGTATAAACATATTGCTCAGGCATGCAGGAGTGAAATCAGGAAGGCCAAATCACACTTGGAGTTGCAGCTAGAAAGAGATGTTAAGAGTAATAAGAAGGGTTTCTTCACGTATGTTAGCAACAAGAAGAAAGTCAAGGAAAGTGTGGGCCCCTTACTGAATGGGGGAGGCAACCTAGTGACCAAGGATGTGGAAAAAGCTAATGTACTCAGAGGCAAAAAAAGCATTGTCTGAAGGAACAAGGTCAGCTCCCAGACTACTGCACTGGGCAGCACAGTATGGGGAGGAGGTGACCAGCCCTCTGTGAAGAAAGAAGTGGTTCAGGACTATTTAGAAAAGCTGGACGAGCAAAAGTCCATGGGGCCAGATGCACTGCATCCGAAGGTGCTAAAAGAGTTGGCGGATGTGATTGCAGAGCCGTTGACCATTATCTTTG